TGTTACTCTTCGCGCAAAGGGTTTATACCTAAACGAATGCTTCGACTGAGGTCTGGGAACTCTATGGTATTTTGGAATTATAAAGAATTTGTGCTTTTATTTTAACAATATTGGTTATATTTAGATGTATTCTTATTAATTGAAATACAGATTTGTAGAAGTAATACTTTAACAGTTTTTATTAATATAATATATTCAATTTTTATCTGACCATACCGAAGTAGGGAATTTTGAAACTTTATAGTAATGTGAAATTTGAATTACAATATTACACGATATTACATAATTAGTACTTATTTGAGGTAGGTACTAAATTTGTACTTGGAGAAAGTAATATCGATTTTTACAAGAAAACTTGAAAAGTAAATTAATTTAGTTCTTATTTCTGATGTAAAACTTAAACCAAGAAAACAAATAAATTGTAGTTTGTTCAACAAGGGTGGATATGATAGCCATATCACACAAAGACGAAGTTTGAGCACGACGTCGTAGGCGGAGTACTGAATCGTCTGATTGTGATATGAACAATCCACTCGATATGGTCAGTATATTTTTTTTACGACCCACTAACGAAAATCTACAAATTTAAAAAATTATTTTAGGTTATTTAGACAAAATAACTAATTTTAAAATAATTTACGAAGTTGACTAATTTATAAAATAAAATTAACATGAAAAATTAATTAGTCCTCGGCCTAGATTCGATCCCGGGCTTTTCGCGTGGAAGGCAGATGCTCTGTCCTCATCTTCACCGAAACTTTCAGGACTTTAGTTTTAATACTCGTAATTAAATTAGTATCATGTAGTTTGATTAAAATTTATTTTTTTTTAAATGTGGACACAATAAAAACAAAAATGCTATTATTTATCGAGTCTACACAAAAATTTTAATGTATATTTAATATCAATAACTAAAATATATATTGACAATTAGTTTAACAGAATTGTCACTTATTTAAAAAAATTTAAATAATAGGAGTTGGGTGACCAAAATATGAACTGTGATTTGTAGATTTAATTTTGTTAAAGTGTCCTCACTACCTAAAATGGATATGAAATATATTCGTAGTTGAACGCAATAACATACTTTTTCGTTTTGTAGTATGTGCATAGATTGGCTAATATCCATGCACAGATTACAAAACGAAAAAGTATGCTATTGCCTTCAATTGAACGAATATATTTCATATCCATTCTAGGTAGTGAGAACACTGCAAAAAAAATAAATTCGCCAATCACCGTTCATATTTTGATCAACCGACTGCTATTATTTTTAAAATTTTAAATAAATGACAATTCTGTCAAACTAATTGTCAGTATATTTTTTAGTTATTGAGATTAAACATACAATAAAATAAGTTATTCTTTTGGAAAACGTTAGCATGGATGACTAAAGGGTATTGGGTTAATTAATTCTAAAAGTGTGGTACAAATGTTATTTTTTGTAGCCAATTCTTCAAAATTATTTTGAAATATCTTTTCAATATTGAATATTAGTTCTACAAATTCATCATTTGACAGTTGCAGATTTCCAAATGTATCTGGATTGGCGTTATCATATGCCTTTAAAAAGCAATAAAAAGAAAAATCATCTAATTCAACGTGATCTTTGTTATATTTAAGACAGGTATCGCAGAGGAGTGGATCCGCAAGGCTTTTATTAAAAGGTAACCACACACATACCTGATAAAATTTTTCTGTATCAATTCGTCTTTACAATAATTTAGGGTGTTAATAATTTTATCATAAAATAAAATACAAGGTGTTCCATTTAAAAAACATACATTTTAATTTGCCAGGCAAAAACGTGACACCCTGTATATCCAAAGATATTTTTAAAATATGTAGGTATTTTTCAAATCCTTATAACTTTTATTTAAAACTTTCTTGCGTGTCTACAACAAAATAATGAACAATAACGCACTAATGGGATACCCTGTATAAATTATATTTTTAACAATGAAAATTTCTTATAATGTGGTACTTATCGGTTTGGGTCCTTGGGAAAACTAAAGAATGTTTTCTTGCAGGTATAACCCTTATTAAAACAGCTTTTGACTGCACAAACAGAATGATGTTTTTTTTTTTCACTCATTCTACTCATAGCTAAAGAGTCACCAAAATAATAACAGTACCTTTAACTCAAACAAAATCAACGAAATTATAGGCTCCACGAAATTATACAATCAACGAAATTATAGGCTCCACGAAATTATACAATCAACGAAATTATACGCACGACTCAACACCTTACCTAAGTACGCTTCTGAACATCAAAACCGTCTTTTCCCTTCGAAGGCGGAGCTTAAGCGATGCGCGACGAAATCGACGCAAACCGTTGCCGCCAAGAGAGTGTTTTAGCTGTATTGTTAAGCTGTGATTCAAATTTAACAAGAAGAATCAAATGAAGTGAAGTTTGACGTTTGATTTAACATTATATTCAAGCCGGACTTCCGATTCGGACACCATCGTGGCAATATTGAAATGGCGTTCTCCGAATCGGGAGCCAAGCAATCCCATAAAAATCACAAAATATCTAGTATAAAAGTGACCATCCAGTGTAATATTTGGAGAAGATAATTGAAATCAAATATCAAGTGCAGTGGAAAAGTGAAAAGATTGAGCCAATATAAAACGAAGAAAAGAAGAAATACATTCAAGCCCAAGCCAAAAATTTGTATGGCCCAAGCTCATTGTGGATTTTTGATTATTTTATTGCGTACACGATTATAGCCACCAAAAGCGACTTTGTGCTATTTTGAGCATTTGTGTCTCTTTCTACTTAAATAATATGGAACAAAAACCAGAGGGAAGAATAGTTTGTGTTACCGATGTAGCATGTTCCTGGAATACAGGTAATAAATGAATATTTGTTTATATACATAGAACATTAATATCCTGTTTCTTCTAAGAATAATTAAATTAATTTAAAAGTAAATATCTTAATATAAGATTTAATTCAGATATTCGTCAAGTATCATTTTTGTTTGTTTTTATGGAGATTTTAAGAACTAATAATATCAAAAACTCCCTATTAGATAGCCATTTTTAGTGAAGTTAAAGTAAAATTGTTAAAGTAGGCGATTAAGCATAATAGCTCATATTGCAGTAAATGATTATAAAAATTCTTTGATTTAAAATTCTAAGAAATTAATTTTTTGTTTTGCTTTATAGATAACTGTTCTGTCGGTTTTTACTAACTTTTGCAAAGTATAATTTTATGTGACTAGATGCTCTTAACTAAATTTCTTTTTAGGAGCTATACAAAGGCAACTACAAATCAAAGAGAAAAATCAATGCAGTTATGGCTAAAGAGGAGTACGAATGCGCTACAAAGAAAATAACTCTTAGTGACCTGTGATTAATAGATGTTTTATCAATAAATATTTTAATTCTATTTTCTGCATTATTTTATAATCTGCAAGGTTGTTCTACTTTTTTAATAACCAAGATATCCGACGTCCTACGTTCATAAGACATCTTAAAGATGTCTTATTTATGGCTTTACAAGACTATTATAAGCTATTAATAAGTTGTCTTATTTATAGCTTATTTAAAGCTTCACAAGACCATTATAAGCCATTAATAAGACGTCTTAAAGACGTCTTATTTAAAGCTTCACAAGACCATTATAAGCTATTAATAAGTCGTTTTAAAGACGTCTTATTTATGGCTTATTTAAAGCTTCACAAGACCATTATAAGCCATTAATAAGACGTCTTAAAGACATCGCTTTTTGTAACATCAGACGTCTTTCAGAAAATACCAGACGTCTCAAAGACGTCTCGAATGTCTTATGCTAGACGTCTTAAAGACGTCTTTAAGACGACTTTGTGCTATCTGGGTTTAAGTTAATAAATAAGTAAACTTTAATTTTGGAAGGGATTGTTTTTTAAAAATGAAAATACATTTTTAATCAACAATAATTTAGACAATTGAAGTTTTTTTTAAAGTTAAAATATTTTTACAGAATACTTTTTTTAAATAAAATTTTCGTACCGTTATTAATTTTTCTAATAACATTATTTTGCACCTTCCTTTTGACCTTTATGAGGGTTACTTGGAGAACAATTTTTATAGAGAGTTGCCAAAGAATACCTGAGAATTCCCTGAAAAATGTACACAAGAATTCCCAATGTATTTACCCCACGATAAAACCCAATTAAAGTACCTATCTTCACAACGGTTGGTTATTTTTTTTATATTATACCTGAGTTTTTTGAAACTTGTAATACATATAGTACCTTTTTGAATTAACATAATGTTTCACCAACAGTCAGTTATTTAAACCTGTGAGATAATAATAAGTAGGTAGGTATATACCTACCTACCTAATTTCAGCATGGGTCCATGTTTGGTAGGTACTCTCAGAGATACATAGGTGCATTGATTGAGCATGGTACCTACCAGTCAATCATTTATTTTAAAAATTTTGAATATTATAATTAAGTTGTTAAAACATGAAAATGACATCAATGTGGTTAAAAATGACGTTATCATAACCGCGCTATGTAGGTTTAATTTATGCAATATTGCCAGACAGTTAGTTAAGTTTTAAACAAAAAAGAAAAATTTATGTCCATAGTGATGTAAACTTAAAGAAAAACCAAAGAGGAAGTATCTATAAATACCTACTTACGTACTTATATAAGTATTCTTTTTTAACTAGTTAGTGCCTATTAAACATTTATTTGCATTCCACATAAAACTTTTACCTATTAACAACAACTGGATAAATAAAAATTTGTAGAGTTAAGATTAATTCACATCAGAAGAAATCATTTTTATTTTTTAATTCATAAATTAAAATATAAAATTTATAATCTATATAATTTAACCTCGTGCTAGTTTCACACATTTGAATCTCTAAAAGTTCTGAAACAAACCGATGAACATTCACCTGCAACTAAAGTGCATCACGAAGCATTCGACTTTATTACCTAAATATATACTACAAACAAAACACTAAAACAAACCACGTGCTCCCAAGCGGCACTTACCTCTCGAAAAATTAAAAAAGACACTCCTCAACAATCGTACAAAAAAAAAAGAAAACAAAGCACACCAGCCACCAGAGAAACGAAAACAAAACAACACAAAACCGTTCGTCTACGAAACGCCGCACGAGAGAAAGAGGAAGAGCGTCACGTACTTACATCACAAAGCGTCACAGCCAACTGAATTTTTGTTCGCTTTTCGATCCGAGCAATGCGATGCGAGTTGCTGGCTGGTTGCTGGCCGGCGTATTCGCATTGTATTTAGGTACGAAGATGGCCCAAACTGTATAGTCGAGACACTCGAGGTCTCGACGAGGTGAATCAAGAAAAGCGCAAGACGGTTGCGATTTTCTGCTATCTGCTTTCATTTATTTATGATCATCACATTAGAAACCAGACCTAAATATACGTTTCTAATTCTATACACTTAGTACAAAATAATTCTACATTTTAGAACACATCTCTTCATATCTTCCACCTTTATCTAAGAACCCCAGTAATCGATATTTATGATAATGAAATAGCTATATTATCTTGGTTTCAGGTTTAAAATGTTCTAAGATCATCATGAAATTCATGAAACAAGTGATTGCAAGCCACATCATTTATGCACATGTAAAATTAACGAGTCTTAAAATTGAACCTTGAGGTAAACCGGATTACCGCAATAGCCATTTGTGTAACCAGTTGGAATTGATTTGAGTTCAATCATATTAACAATAGGTATTCACGTTTTGCTTCTTCTTCTTCTTCTAGGTTTTATTTTATTTAAAAGAGTACCCCACTTTAAAAGTTTGTTTTTGACTTTTTCTGAAAGAAAAAAGTTAAATCTATACTTCTCTGGAGTCACCTTTTGAAAAAATGTTAAAAGATGTCTTTCTAATAATAAGAAATACAAATAAAAATGCTAGAAAGGAACCAGTGTTGCCAGTCTAGTACAATTGTACTAGATCTAGTACATTCTCTGAGAATCTGGTACTCAAGTACACTCGAAACAAAATCTAGTACTTTTTTCAGCGTATGTTTCCATTTGAAGTGTAAAATATATTGGTCAAAAATTGCAAGAGAAATTAAAATAGTTGTTAAAAATTCCTTCAGATATAAAATAGTAGACATTTCTCGAGAGATAAAACATTGTTTAAAATTTGCACGAGAGATCAAATAATATTGTTCAAAAATGGCTTGAGAGGTAAAAAAGGGTGTTAAAAATTGGTCGAAGTATAAAATAGTATTAGAAATTGCTTGAGGGATAAAATATTGTTCAAAAATTGCTCTATGGATAAAAATACTGTTAGAAATTTAATGAGAGATAAAAATATTTAATCATTTTTCGAGAGATTAAATAGTATTATAATTTGTTAAAATCGTGTTCAAAAATTGCTCGAGGTAAAATAGTATTACAAAATGTTAAACCCTTGTTCAAAAATTGCTCGAGAAATAAAATACTATTGAAAAATTTGTTGAGAAATAAAATATTGTTCAAAATAGACTCAAGAGATACCTACTATTAGAAATTTCTCAAGAGATATAACATTGTTTAAAAATTTCTCGAACGATAAAATACTATTAGAAAATGCTCGAGAGATAAAATATTGTACAAACATTGCTCGAGATATAAACCATTGTTAAAAATTTATCGAGAGTTAAAATATTGAGCAGCTTGCTAAAAAGATAAAAAAGTTGTTAAATATTGCTCGAGAGATAGAATAAATGTTAGAAATTTATTGAAAGATAAAATATTGTTAAAATATAGCTCAAGAGATAAAAAAGGTTTAAAAACTATTCGAGAGATAAAATAGTATCATAATTCATTAAAATCTTATTCAAAAATTACTCGAGAATTAAAAAATACTGTTTAACATTTCTCAAGAGATAAAACATTGTTTAAAAATTGTTAGAAAGGTAATGTTAATAAAAATTGCTCGAGAAATAAAATAGTGTTAAAAATTATTAAAATTTTGCTCAAAAATTGCACGAGAGATCAAATATTGTTCAAAAATAGCTTGAAAAGTAAAAAAGCTGTTAAAAATTGTTCGAGTGATTAAATAGTGTTAAAAATTGTACAACAAATTTTGTACAAACATTTCTCGAGGGATATAAAAAGTTGTTAAAAATTGCTCGAGAGATAGAATACTGTTAGAAATTTGTTTAAAATTGTTTAAAAACTGTTCGAGAGATAAAATATTATCAAAAGGTGTTAAATCTTTTTTTTTAAATTTTGCTCAAAAATTGCATGAGACATCAATTATTCAAAAATGGCTTGAAAGGTAAAAAAGGCTGTTAAAAATCGCTCTAGTGATTAAATAGTGTTCAAATTGTACAAACATTGCTCGAGGGATAAAAAAAGTTGTTAAAAATTGCTTGAGAGATAGAATACTCTTGGAAATTTATCGAAAGATAAAATATTGTTTAAAAATAGCTCAAGAGATAAAAAAGATTTAAAAACTGTTCGAGAGATAAAATAATATCAAAAGGTATTAAAATCTTTTTCAAAAATTGCTCAAGAGATGAAATAGTGTTAGAAATTGTTAAAATTTTGTTCAAAAATTGCACGAGAGATCAAATATTGTTCAAAAATAGCTTGAAAGGTAAAAAAGGCTGTTAAAAATTGCTCGAGTGATTAAATAGTGTTCAAATTGTACAAACATTGCTCGAGGGATAAAAATAGAATACTGTTGGAAATTTATCGAAAGATAAAATATTGTTTAAAAATAGCTCAAGAGATGAAATAGTGTTAGAAATTGTTAAAATTTTGTTCAAAAATTGCACGAGAGATCAATTATTGTTCAAAAATAGCTTGAGAAGTAAAAAAGGCTGTTAAAAATTGCTCGAGTGATTAAATAGTGTTAAAAATTGTACAAGAAATATTGTAGAAACATTGCTCGAAGGATAAAAAAAAGTTGTTAAAAATTGCTCGAGAGATAGAATACTGTTAGAAATTTATCGAGAGATAAAATATTTTTTAAAAATAGCTTAAGAGATAAAAAAGATTTAGAGAGATAAAATAATACCAAGAGGTATTAAAATCTTTTTCAAAAATTGCTCAAGAGATAAAAAAGTGTTAGAAATTGTTAAAATTTTGCTCAAAAATTGCACGAGAGATCAAATATTTTTCAAAAATAGCTTGAAAGGTAAAAAAAGGCTGTTAAAAATTGCTCGAGTGATTAAATAATGTTAAAAATTGTACAAGAAATATTGTACAAACATTGCTCGAGGGATAAAAAAAGTTGTTAAAAATTGCTCAAGAGATAGAATATTGTTAGAAATTTATCGAGAGATAAAAGAGTATTAAAAGGTATTAAAATCTTATTCAAAAACTGCTCGAGAGATAAAATAGTGTCAAAAATTTGTCGAGAGATAAAATATTGTTTAAAATTATTGTGTTCGTGTTCTCTATAAACCTTTTTTTGCTCTTTAATGACCATACCTCATAATTAGAAAAATCTGGTAATTTTATAGAATCTAGTACATTTTTATGAAATCTGGTACATTTTTTAGATAAATCTGGTACATTACAAAAATATATTCTGGCAACACTGAAAGGAACAATATATTTAATTTTTACCTACAGGAGCATTTATTTTTCTTACAATAAAAAAAATACGTTGAAAGCTTTTTCGTCTAGAGGGTGACACCAACAAAATGTATATCCTTTTCTACTATTTACAAGTAATAAACAGTACGCAAGTGATATGAATTTATTGTTATATGTCTGTACACTGTGTTATTTTTTACATACAGTATCTTCGCTCAATTATTTTAAATTAATTTTTTAATTTATTTATTAAAAAAATATAATCGAAATTAAATGGTATACACTGAGATGTGAATTATAAATTTATTATTACACGAGAGTTTTTTTTTTAATGAATACATCTTCGAGATAAAAATAATTAATTCCAGCATGTTAACAACTCTTTAATCTGTTATTGTATATTTTTTCGAACTAAGTAAATCATTGTTCCTACTCTCGCGCGTGACTTTGATATGTCGCACTCTCTGATAAGCGTTGTAGAAGAAGATTTTTTAAAAAGTTTGCTAATATTATCATCTATAGATGAGAAAAAAATGAAAGACGAAAACATGTCACTACATCAAAATGTGGAGACATTTGTAAAAAAACGAAACGTCTTCTTTGAAATATCTCATAAAATTTTTAATTTTTTGCTAAAGCCACCCAATATGGCATTAACAATAAATCAGTAGCAAAATAAGATTTGGAAATTTATTTAAAAGAAAAAGTTTTTAAATGTATACTTTTTATTGATTTCGATTTTGATTATGTTGCTGCCAGTCCGGATGGAGTTTAAAACAAAAAACAAAACTCTATGTTAGAGTTAAAATGTCCATATATGGAGCTAGAGTGCTGACTGTAGAAGAAGAAATATGCAGTAGAGAAATAATTTTTTGTGTAAAAGACAATACCATTAAGGAGAACCACAATTGGCATTTTCAATTTCAGGGCTAGCTGCACATTACACAAATGCAGTTTTGCATATTGTGCATTGAAACTCCTCGAGGAATAAAAGTGGAGAAAATTCCTCATAATGACAGCTTTTGGAAAGTAAAAATTCAAAATAAAATTCAAAATTTTTATATGCAATATGCCTTACCCATAGGCGCCGGAATTCAAAAATTACTTTGAGTGCCCGGCTTCTATGCGGAAAATAGGAGCTAACTCCCGCCCTCATCCTCCACACCTCACTTAAAGGCACTACCGGGTTTTAAAAAAGCTATTTTAAGTATTGTGAACTGTTATTTTTACATAGATTATAACCCCCCAGTTTTAAATCGCTACTGTCTTCCTAGCCATGATCTTTTAACGATTTTTATTTTCTGTAAAAGCTTACCAGTTACTCGAGTAAATGCTAGAAATGCTGACCCTGTGCAGTGTCGGACTGGCCCGGTCGGCAAGTCGGCATTTGCCGACGGGGCCAAACCCTTTTGGGGGCCAACGGTCAAGCATTAGAGATAAATCAAACCACCATCATGAAAATGTTGTTTACAATAATTCAACGAAATCTAAGAAATCTGGCAACATTGGTGCGTCTAGACGTAGTCTAGGCTGCTGAGACAATTTGTTCTACATTGATACTTGTTTTTTTAGAAATTTCTGCAAATATGAAACTCTTTTAATATCATTTATCGTGATAAAAAATTTTGAATACATGACCCCCCCTCAAATTATCTTGAGACAGAAAGTATTGATTCTGTCCAAGCATACCATTTGGTAACAAATTTAAAGCAATGCTAAATGAAATATATGACAAATTTTAATTGTTAAAAAGAC